TTCAAAATCCAGCACGTAACTCAAGAAAGTTCAAGTAATGGAAGAGAATCTAGCGCTAGTGAACCCATGGTTCTCTAGATGTTAATGACAACACCCAGCATCTTTAATCATTGGTGACTAGGAGTTTGGGGAATTGTAGTTCCAACAAATCTGGAGGATGCCAGCTTAGGGAAGGCTAAACTATATGGCCCTGCCCAGATATTAAGAAGTGTATAAGCTCACAAGTAAGATTAATTTAAATAAGCAAGAAATCACGATTTTTTTTCCCCAATAACTCCCAGAGTATAAAACTCCCTTCCTACTGAGCTGTGCACAGTCCTAATATTAGAAGTCTTCCAATGAGCTTTAAAAAGCGATTTATTTTATTTGGCTTCCTTAAGGTCTTTTAATGTAACCAGTATAAATTATTGAGCAATTTTTAAACTATTTTAGGCTTGTACCTTACTTATTGGAATCTCAGCAGCTGCTTTATTGATATTTGAGTTATGTCCAGTTTACATCTTTGCTTTTATGCTTTTTTTTTCCTTAATAGATTTAATGTTTGATTATTTAGTAAGCCACTTTGCTGGGGCTATGCCATAAAAGGAGGACTACAAATAAATGAAATATTTTATCTCTTTTATCTACAATCTAAAAGAACTGCTCATGATTTAAGCAACAGGGCTATTATCAGCAGTGCGAAGTGCAGTAATGGCACTGTAGCATTTTAGAATATTCTGATGAGTTCTTAGCGCTCTTTACAACAACTCTCTGAGGTAGATAACTCCATTTCGTAGACAGAAACTGAGTTCATGAGGGTGATTTGCTGAATACCAATAAGTTGCTTTTAAATCAGGGCTTTTTTGCATTATCAGGCATGGCTTTTCTCCAACTTGTTGGAAGCGTAATGTAAACGAAGATGCCATTCCACACCCAAGATGGCATTATATTAACTACCATTATCCTTCCCTTTGCTGAAGTTTTTCTGTACTTTCTACTCACAAGTGAATTCCATTTAGAAAGCATCTTTTCTTCTATGCTAATCAAGAGCTTTCACTTTGCAGATCTGTCCAGCCAAATTGCTTTCCTGGTCAGCCCGGCAGGGGGGCGGGAGGGAAATTAATGCTGAATTGTCTCTTAATTGTCCCTTGTTTAGCTTCAGTCCCCTGGCAAAAAAGGATATTAAATTACTCATTATTTCCCCCTTTTCTTTCCAATATGGAAAAATAGTGCTACTTTATTATAGAGAGAGAACAATGAGTAATTTAATGCCCTTTTCTTCATGGGTGACAAACACTGACGAAATAGGAAGCAATTAAGGTGTAATTCAGCATTAATTTCCAGCTGTCTTGAACACAGACACAATAAAATTGACTAACCACAAAACTGAAAGCTTTTGGCTTCAAGAAACTTTCCTTCAACGGCATATTGCCTGTCTACGCTGGGTTAACTGCTGCGATTGTGCTTCTTTACAATAATTGTCTGAGATTTTATATGAAAACAGAGGAAGAAAACAAAAAACACTAGAATGTAACAATTTACCAAGAACATTGTATAGTTTCCCTGTAAAAACAATGAGTGAACCAAGTATGGCAATTCCAAATAAAAGTATGAGTGTGTAAGCAACTATTGAATTCATTTTAAAAAATGGGGTTTAAAACTAGGAATTACTTAGTCTCTTAGGCTGCCATTCTGTGCTCACTTTCTGAGGATAATCTACTTTGGATACAGGAAATATTATTTAATTCATATATCTATGAATGAACACCCCAAACCACTGGGGTTTTTTTCTCTCTGTGTTTCTGCCAAGATGTATGATTCTGCTCCTTGACAAACTGTGTAGGGATGAAGTGATCAAAGAAACTTTGCATCTTTCACATACTATACTTCTACAACTCCTTCATCCCTCAGCTGAGGCATATTGTCAGGCTAACTGAATATCCCAGTAGTATGTCACAGACATACTATTCTGCAGGTAGTCCTTGCTTCATGATGCTAGTTGAGAACAGAAACTCTATTGTTAAGAGACGCAATCATAAGTCGAAACACCACATGACTGCACCTCTTAGTGATGGCAGTTCCATTAGTTGCGGTTGCCATTATGAAGCAAGGACTGTGTGGGTTGTTAAGCAAGGACATCATGACTGTGACTTGCGACTTTCTGCTGGCTTCCCCATTGACTTTCCTTGTTGGAAGCTGGCAGGGAAGGTTGCAAATTACAATCATGTGACCATGGGATGCTACAACTTCGTAATCGCAAGCCAGGTGCCAAGCATTTGGATCGTGATCATCTGACTACATGGATGCTGCAATGGCCATAAGTAAGAGGACCAGTTGTAACTACCACTTGTTCATCACTGTCGTAAGTTTGAATGGTTGCTGAATGAGTGGTCATTAAATGAGGACAACCTGTTTGTCACAGAGTGTCACAGATCTCAATAGTATGCCACAGACATCCTGACCGTACCCAGCTTAGCCTATTCCCTTGGCTTTTTCTGCCTTGGCAGAAGTCTCATAGATGTGGCTAGACTAGATAAGAATCTTTATTACAAGCAAGAATAAAACCATATGAAAGAATTGATCGCCCATTGCCAGCATAAAGGGTGTAATCTCCCTCTTATACTGACAGTGGTTAAAATCCATTGCTTTTTCTTCTTGCTCTTCTCACCATTCAGTGGATGCTTGGTGAACTTGAAGCTGAATGATTCTTGAATAGTTACATAATTGCCTTTTCTGGTGTGAAAACCTCTGTCTCTCACCTTAGTGCTCACTCATACAGGAGTTGTAATCAAGACTGCCTAGAGGAAAGAGGATTGCCTGCCATAGCATTTAATATTTATTAGCATCAATGTGTTAATATTTATGAACTTCACTATTTATTTAATATTTATATTTATTAACTAACAAAGATATTTATTATGCCCCTCTGTAGTGGCTTTGAGTGTCCATCTCTTTCTTTTGAACACATTATCTTAAAACTCTGCTATGTTAATATATAACCCAGAGCAGATACAAAGGTAGCCCTGTTGTAATAATGCTGTCCTTTGCCACAAGGTTTTATCCACTGTTCTTCTATTGTTTCTACATTTTATAGTATAGTTTTGAAGTTTAAATCAACCAGAGTCCTTTTGTTTTGGGTAGGTATTAAATACTAAAAATAAAGAATAAATTTTAAATATGTTTTAAACATTTTATATTCATTGTGTGTTATGATTAATGTTCAATTTATAGAATGCCAGCTTCTGGAAAGGAGTAGGTTGTCCTCGGCATGAGCATAAAGCAATGACAACACTTCAAATAAAGTTGTACCAATGCAGTTGGACTGTTTTTTAAAGCTGTAAAACATTTGCTTCTGAAAACATGAGCCTACCTCAACAGGCATCTTGAACCTCTCTAAAAGTAACTTTCTGAGATCGTCCCACAGAAGTCTTTCTGAGCTCAGTCTTTCTGAGATCTTATGAATTGAGATAGGTGGCTAGAGAAGAGAAGCCCTTCTCAGTGGTGGTATCCAAATCATGACATGTCTACAGGGCAAAGTGACACTGCCAAGGGAATGGTCAGATAAGAGACAGCATAGCTTTCAGCTGGATAGTGGGTTGGGCAAGAAGCTCAGAAGACACCCTCCCTAGTTTCTCGAGTGGTAAAGGAGATGGGGAGGAGAATTGTACTTTCAGACTTGCAAGATTGATGTTGGCCTCGAGGGGTAAACCAGATACGAATCACAACCAGATTAGCTCATTCTACTTTATTGTAATGCTACATTGACAGAATCTTGCAAGTCTGAAAGTACAATTCGCCCCCATCTCCTTTACCTCCTTTACCGCCCAAGAAACTAGGGAGGGTCTCTTCTGAGCCTCTTGTCCCACCCACTATCCAGCTGTGGGGTATGCTGTCTCTTATCTGACCATTCCTTTTGCAGTGTCTCTTTGCTCAGTCTCCCAAGGTCTTTCCTACATCGCATTACAAGGAGATGAGCTAAGGCTCTTTTTCTTCTCTTTTTGTTTACCAGTTGCAAGCTCTATAAATGGAGGATTTATACATCATGGCCCAAACACTAGTAAAAGAAAGACAGTGATGCCATAGACTGATGAAAATATGATTTATATCTGATTGAGGGTATTACAGAACCTTGAATTCAGCAGAATTATAGGGTGCCTTTTGTTATTATGCTCTGTGGCTTATACTATTCTAGCCATAGCTGCCAATTGTTACAGCACAAGTAAGAGAAATGATGCACACTGTATTATTTTCTTCCTGTAATGACTAAAATGAATTTAACTTTTAATGGCACATTACAGATCAGATTTCTGTAAAGCTTTTTTTTTTCTTTGAAAGGAAAAAAAAAGCTTTCTTTATATGTGTTTTCTCTACATTTCCCATTTTCTCTATTGTGCTTTTCTTTTTCTTTTATTTCTCCTTAATTTCTTTCTGAAATGTGTGAAAATATACATCAAGGTAGAAAATAAATAAAATCCATTTTGTAATTTGCTTTTGAAATTAAAAAAATATTTCTGTGGGTTTTGTGATGAAATTGAATCCAAACACTAAAATGCTAACGATGGATTTGAGAGCTTTTCCAGTAAGATGTCATGCAGTTTGAAAGAATGGGCTTATATAGTATAATTTTTAAAAGGCTGGTTCTCTTTAATTTTTTTCTTGGGTGAATTGAACAGCAAACTCAAAGCTCATTATGTTCCAGAACCGTGGAGCAACCCGAAGCTGGACCTTACATAAGAGGTTCAGGAGTACACCTTGCTTACATCAAGGTTACCTTCGCTGGGTTGAGAAACTCAGATACTCCATTCCATGCAAGAGATCTTGATAGGCCTTTATTAGAATCTGGTGAGATCCACTTCTAGTATTTCAACCAGAGAGGCAGATTATACTGAGAAAAATAATGAGCTAACTTCGATAATATATAGAACACTGTATAGCATAGTGCCAAGTACCTCTATTCACTTTCTAAATAAGTGGTGGTCATGGTGCTTCTAATAAACTTTTGCTTCTTCGTATGCATTTAGATTATAGATGAAGAAGAAACACAGTTCATGAGTAATTGTCCTGTGGCTGTGACAGAGAGTACACCGAGGAGGAGGACTCGCATTCAGGTGTTTTGGACAGCTCCTCCTTTGGGCACAGGCTGTGTAATTTTGAAGTAAGTAAATTTATTATCTAAATATATGGTTGAAAGCTTGCTGCGTATACTGTACTTTATGATATTGTACTGATTTTTAGCTTGACCAGTAAGAGTTAGTTATACTATGAAAGCCTCAGAAATAACCATTCTCAAGATTTAGAGCTTGGAATGCCTATAAACACTGGGATAATTGGAGGGATTTTTATACATGGAATTTGCACTGCTTTGAAACCAGATCGAGACCTCTGTAATTCTACAAAAAATGACCAAATTCAAGAACTGAGTTGAAGTACTTCTGGCTACGTTGAGGTGTATTTGAAACTGCAACTAACTAGTCTTTTATTTTAAGTGCTGCAACTCCATGGAGGATGGGGTGGCCCACTTCCCCATTTGCAGGTAGCTCACATTTCAGAAAATGCTTGGCTGGAGAGGCTTTTAGGGGGGTGGTCAAAATCTGCATGATGGTAGGTACAGTGTCACGATCCAAGTCCTGCCCCTTTGGTATATGCATGTGAACTGGTTCAAATTTGACATGGTCTTTTGCTCACACAGACACATACTACAAACACATACCCATGATATCTCCTGTGTGATAAGATTTGTGAATGGCCCTTATGATCACATGCTAATAATCCATAATCTTCTTATGATGGGGACATGCACATAAGTAGGACTTTCTGCTACACCTCACTGCACAAAAGACTACATCCAGATAATTTGCAGTGAAAGAATTCTGCATTTTTTTGCACGTACTGTAGGTTTCTACAGGAGCCTACACAACTGGCTGTTCTGAATGCGTATATCCACCTAACAGAGAAAGAGAGAGAAAGAGAAACCATATTGCATGCTATCGTAGCAGTACAATATTTATTTATTTGTTTAATCTCTCTCTCTCTCTCTCTGTGTATGTATGTATGTGTGTATATATCTGTCTGTATCTATATCTATCTCTATGTTGCTTTATCTGAAGACTCTGGGCAGTTTACAACAATAGCAATACAATAAAGGCAATCCATCACAAAAATCCATATTACTTGTGAAAAGCCCCAAAATAATACATTTACTACAGTAAACAGGCAGCCAGTACCCCTGATTCCCACAAGCCCAGCAGAACCAAAATATTTTGACTGCCTTTCAGAAAGTCAGCAGAGAAGTGGCCAGTCTGACCTTAGGGAGCACGTTATTCCACAGTTGCAGGGTCACCACAGAGAAAGGCTACCTCTGGGCTTCCACCCCATAGCCTCATATGGCTTGGAAACTTGAAGTAGCCCCCTTTAAAAGATAGAGCAGGCTAGGTAAATTTTACTTGGCACAGATTGTCTCAAAGGTAATGGGAACCAAACCAAACCAGGTGAGGCTTGATAGGTACTGTAATTCCGAAACATACAGTATTGGCAACCAATGCAGCAACCGCTGTACAAGTGTTACCCTGCTCCAGCGATTGTCTCCTGTTCCTAAGTGGGCAGCTGCCTTCGTACCAGAGTTTTGTTTTCCAGCAAGTCATTAAGAAATATTTAAATAGGAGAATATTGATTGTATGACTGTTAGGTTAGAGAAAGTGTATGATCAATTGAAGAGGCTTGAACAATGGAATGTTTTGCAGGAGAATAGACTTGCAAGTTGGTTGTTGAATGTGATAAGAATGGTATATGATGGAAGTAAATCATACACGAGAAAAATGGAATAGTTGAAGGTTCCACAATGAGTAGAGAATAAGACAAGGATTTGCAGAGTTCCCTTGGTTGTTTAATGCATTTATAATAAATGTATAAGGAGGACTTGTGATAATATTACAGGTGCGTTAGTTAGGGACATAAACCTGCATGTACTTTTGTATGCAGATGATGCCATGTTGCTGGCTAAGAACTTGAATGAGAATTGCAGAGAATGTTAAATAGACTGAATGATGCAGTGAGGAATATAGATCTGAAAATTATTGTGTCAGAGGCCAAGATAGTTGTGTTTGGTACAGCAAACAGAATGAATTATCACAAAATATACATAAATGGTGAAGAAAAAAAACCCCAGAGCAATACATGACTTTATGAACCTTGGTAGAATGTTTACTGAAGATGGGAAAATGGATGGACAAATTTTTAGATGCTGGTGGAAAGGTAGCGGGCAGTGTGCTTTCTTTGTTGAATGAAATGAAAATGACTCTGTATAAGTACATGCTTCTACCATGTTACTGTATGGAAGTGAGAGTTGAGCTGGTCAGTAGAAACCTACACCAGCTTAAGTTGAATATGGTGGGAAAGAGGTACTTAAGAAGAATGTCTGGTAAAACTAGAAGAGATAGGATCAAAAATGAATGGCTGCTGAATGAATACCAAAGTGAATTACCAGGATGAAAAAAGTATATTGGTTGGTTTGGCCATATAGAGAGAATGAACAAGGACTCATCTACTTTACAGGCTGCTTTAGGAATACGCTTAGGAGAGCAATGCGTGTAGGCTTCACTGAGCTCTTAGGAGAAAGTGGGCTGTAAATGGAAGCATGAAAAAATCCATAAGATGCTTGATCTGAGAAAGTATCTCCAAATTGCTGTTGCAGTTCTAAGATGTTGGCTGCTTTATGTCCACAAAACTCCTGAGCTTTCCTAAAGCTTCGGTTGCAACAGTGTCTGAGGGCCCTACCCTTAAGTGGTTTGGCAACAGTGCTAATCCTTCAGATAGCCTAGGTTGTATCAATAAAGAAACATGGAATTCCTTCTAAACATAAAATTTCTTCAAGAACTGGAAATGATCTCATATCTTGGGTATAAAGAATGAAGCCTATCAAATTTAAACACCACCATCATTGCAACTTTTTAGAGATTAACAGTAAAAGGCAACATTATGTTGTAGTGTGGGGGTAGCCTAGTACATAGCAATTATTTCTTTTCTTTTGACACAGACTTAACACCATGCATGTTTTCCTACTACTTCGTAAAGCTTTGAGCATAACAAAATTATAGGGTTGAGAGTAAGCCCTTTCCCCGCATTGCTGTTGCCTTTTCACGCCCCCATAAATGCTTACAAATGTTGGACACTATTTTTCTCATCTTTTGTGGCAAACATGAAAGCACTAATAATACTATGAAAAACAAAGCAATTTTAAAAGCCTGCTATGAAAATAGTTGTGTCTAGGCAAAAGTCAGCTATCTTAAGTACTGGAAAGATTTCTTCACACAGGGCATAGTTTGCTATACTATCACAACATGTAGTTAGTTAGATGTTCAGCTTCTAGTGACTGTATATGCAAAAGCTCTCCCTTTTAGTCTGGTTTCAGAAATAATTTACAGCTTTATAAAGTACAGTAAACTTTACCGTGACTGGGAAGATCCAGGGTCAAGTCTGTCTTCAGCTATGAAAACTCCCTAGGTGACTTTGGACCAACTTCTCTCTCTCTCTCTCTCTCTCTCTCTCTCTCTCACTCTCGCTCTCGCTCTCTCAACCCAACCTATCTCATAGGGCCAATGTTGTGCGGAAAGTAGGAGGAGGGAGTGATAAGTATGTGACCTTAAACTGGAAAAAGACAGGATGTAAATATAACTAACAAACTTATCTAACAAAATGTGGTGCTAATCGCTAACTTTATGAAATACGATGGCTATATTACTTTTCAGTATCAAAACTGTTATGCCTCTGAAAACCGAGGAAGTGACTGATGAAGTTAAATGAGAAATAGAATTGTATTTATTTCCTGATTGTGGGCTTCCTGTAAGCATTTTGTTGGCGACTTTGACAACAAAATGCTGGATTAGATAGGACTGAAATCCAATTTTGTACACATATACACATATATTTTATTTGCATCTGTTACTCTTTAAGTCCTTGTCTGTATGAAGTATAGAGCTCTTTGAAACATATTCGTTTCAGAGAGTTTGTTTCTGTTCATAGCATCCATTTTCTGCATCCTTTTGATAAACCTTCTTTTTGGAAAGATGAAGGAAACTTGTACAGTGATGGGAAAGAAATAAATGATACAGTTCTGAAAAATAAATAGAGATGTCTCCTGTACTCACACACTAATCCTGATAGAATAAACACAGGGCTTCTTGAGATCAAAGGCTGACTCATAGGTAGCTGGGACACAGTCATGACTGTATAACTATTTGGTAAGCATCAGTCCATTTGGTCAGGTAACTCAGAGGTAGCATACGTGAACACACAATTCAGCACTTTGATGAGGACATCTAATTTTGTGACTATTATTATGAGAAGTCGGTGGGTCAAGTTGGCTGCTATTGCTACTCTCTGACAATCCATCATTGCACAAAACTTGCACCTGCAAGGAAACTTTCTTTTCCAGCTTCTAGGTTCCTTCAAAATCTGCTTAGCAGGGTTGGGAGACCTCCCCACAGTAGGCATTTGAGGCATAAGAAGTCTTCAGAGAATGGTTTTGCCTCTCCTGATTCAGGAGAAAATGCTTCCATCATCAAAACAATACCATTGAATTCCATTCACTGTGTTTTTATAGTTTATTTTTATATTTTAAATTGAGTTCTTAAATTATTATTGAAAGCAGTTATGAGCTTTAAAAATGAGGTAATTTTAAATTAAAAGACTTGAGATTTCAAATTCAGCAAGCTAATCTGATGCTTTTATGGCATGATTTATTAAAATATTACACATTTATTTCCTGATTAACTTCAGCTTCCCATAATATGTGAGACCTGGATTATGTTTGTTGATTTGCTTTCAATAATGTATTCTCCTAAACTGTCAAATTATACTTTACACAATGTAATTTGGAAGCCTGGTCTTGGTAGAAATTGTGCACATGTAGAACTGGCAAAGGACATATTTTATTCTTTTTAAAGGCAAAATATGGAATTTGCTTCTTTCAGCATAAATATTCCTTTTCTGGTTTATTCATGTGTCTCTTTTTGGATGTGATGGTTGAACAACTTGAAAAGGACATAAAGTCTGCCAAATTAGAGATTTGGCAGATTTAGAACATCATTTACATGCATTTTTAAAAGTCACATTCCTTTGGGAAATTGTGCAGCTGGAACACCAATTTGGGTGTTTGCA